ATCAATAATTAATGTTAATTTTGAAAAGTAGAGTGCAATAATAAAACGTAAATCAGTAAAAGCCTGGAAACTTCAAATAAAAGACTTAATTACCCAAAGAATGCCGGTCAGCAGCGACAACTTGACTTGGAACATGCCAAAGCCGAGCTGATTTATAATTTCATCAACGGTTTCGCCTAAAATTCATAACACCGAATAAGCAGAACATATAAGCATACCTAGAATAAGTTCGAACATGATAGCCAAAATGTTTCACTGATGGACGACGTGATTAGAGACGAAAATTTCACCTGATTCAGAAATACATCACCGAGTCGTCATTACATGAATAAGGTCAAATTCTGACTACAATTTCCAACATCGACAGTCACCGCATTAATTCTTTAACACAGTAGATTTGTCTTTCAACAGCAAACAACTTATTACCAATATATTATTCAGCCGTCTTTAGGCCCTGCACCACTGCAATCATGAACAATCCAACTCCATCACCACTGGTCCAATGCCCGATTGAAAAGAGTGTTTTTGACCGTGGTAGTCTTCAGTAAAATCTGGCTACTCTGGTTTCCTCTCATGCTGTCCAATGTTATATTGACTCCGCGTCGCCCGAGCTACCAATGCTGTGCAGGCTGTAGAAAAACTGAGACATACTGCGAAACGTTTCACGAGAAAAATCTGTTTCACGCCTTCTGACAGTTGGAGATGCAGCAGCACCACTGCGTCTGCTGTTGAAGATGACAAAAATACGAACATAATGACGAAGAAATCTAAACGATGACGAAGATACCAATCAGCAACAGAAACTTCTGGCCGTTCTGAATGGAGGAAACAGACAGTATGGTGCCATTATAGCACGCATCAGATAGATTCCACGATACGATACAAACAGTGGGACGTCGCAGACTCCAACTGGAACATCTCCTCCCTGAAAGGAAACGAGCATAAGCAAGTTCCCGAGGTCGCAGGATACTAACTGGACATAGATGAACTCTCGTCCATCATGCGCGAGAGCTCTGGAATCCTGAACCTCTGCAGGTGGAAGCTGTTCTACTCACGATGCGCGCTTACGCTGGTATTGGTGTTCTGCTAGAACCCAACCTGGTTGGTAGAATCACTGAATGAAGGCCTGTCATCAGAAGAGCGACAATCCTTCCACTGAAGCTACAGCAAACTAAAGCGCTCCCTTGTTACAGGTCTACGCGCCCACTTTAGAGGGAGAATATGAGTTCTTCCTTGAGCAACTGGAGTGTGCTCTGTACGAAGTGCCGACAACGGACACCATCATTCTAATGGACAATTTTAATGCGCATGTCGAAGTAGACATGAAAAGAGGAAAAGCATGATTGGAAAGAACGACCCTAGCGAACTCAATAATAACGGCATAAAGTTATTGCGGTTTTGTGAAAACAACGGACTGCCTCTTACGAAACCTCATCTGAGAATCGAAGCGTGCATCAGTATAAGTAGGACTAAGAGGCCTATCCACATCAGTCGATGATTGATATAATAACCGTACAGTCTGACTTGCAATACTCTCTAAAGGATGTTCCCTTTAAGGAGGCGCATATTTAAAAACAATTATCACACTGTTGTTCGCATCCTACGCTGCAAACGATGGAATACCTTGCAAAGACCTGGCGGCATCCAGAGGATCAGATGAAAAACATTACCCTCTGTCTATATCAGGGCGAAACTAGGAATCATTACACAACGGTTCAAAAAGACAAGTGACGACGACCGACAGAGAACCTCTTTAAGTGACTTACTCTGTGCTGCTGCGGTTTGAAATGGACAGGACTGTGACTTGGGGTCAGAAACAAACTTCTTGGCGGATATCAGCGGTTCAACTGTATACCAGCGAGAAGACGAAATTCACAAAGAAGCAAAGGGCCGTTAGCCAGAATGCTGCATTAAGAGCGCGACTACAGCTAAAGCAGTGACACTATTCACGCAGTAATGGAACAGCCCTTGCTAATTCAAGCATGGAAATACTTAAGCAGGCGATGACTACTTAATATTTTAGATTATGCGGTCCTTCGATACATTTTGAATGAGTTCATTGATTAGAGCAATTGGTGAGAACCGTAACTTTCTGAAATTCCCTTTAGGTATCCAGAATTAAAGGTTATCATAATGTCGCCATATGATTTGACAGTCATGAGCATATTAATATTTTTGTGTAGAATAAGTAACACGGGGAATGAAAGAAATGAATTAAAATGAAACAAAATTAAACTGAAATTACGAAATTAATAAATACTCAAACCTTCTTTAGATAAACCATCATACAGAAAATCTCCAGGCACCACCTTATTCCAATTGATGTA